GCCCTTATTTCATTCAGAGCAGCTTAGAAGACCTCAAAAATCAGTGACTCCTCCCACCACTTTACGGACGGGGAAACAGGCCCAGAGAAGAGATAAAAGCCATACAGCTGTCAAGTGGCAGAGCTGCTACCCGAGAGTCCGGCTGACTAACCTCTCTGAGGAACAGGCAGGTAAAGTGACTTTTCTAAAGGCACAAAACTAGTTGGTAGCTGAACAGAGACACTTGAATACAGTCTCTAGGACTACTACTAAAATTTCTAAAACTTAAGATGTTGCCATTTATAAGATCCTGATAACAGGAATGTAAAAGTGGAAATAAGAATGTATCTTCAAATCAAGGAAGTATGGTATTTGCCTAAAATCTGAGTTCCTTCAGGGACTGAGCTCATGCTGAGAAACCATGTACTGGGTGGGTCTTGGATATGAATCTCCCTAAACTTGCCCAAAGAAAGAAGGCGGAGCATGGGAAAGACTAGAGAATTGAAATCTGATAGACTTGGGTTCAAGTCCAACAGTTGTGATCTTGAGCAAGCTCTTTACTTCTCTAACCTTGGACTCTAAAGAGGGGAGCTAATACCTCCTTCACAGAGCTGCCGTGAGGCCAAAGTGCTGAGCACCGCCTGGGATGGAAGGGGAGCTTAGAGATGATTTATGAAGTCGAAGTTGGCACTCCTGCCCTTCGTCTGACCCCATCCTCGCCAAGAAGAGTGAAGCTGCCAGGGGAAGCAGTCTGCTTTCCAGGACCTGAGCTGTCAGGCCCCAGCACCAGGGAGACGATAGATGCTGAGTGGAGAGGAACATGACTCAGCCCGGGATCTTGGGGAGAACAGCAGCATGAGCAAGGAGGGTGGGTACAGAAGCCTCCTGGGAGGTGACTTCCCTGCCTTAGCCTCAGATACTTCCCACCTGCCTGACCCCAGCTGGTCGTCCAGTATGGCACATTATTAGGATAAACGTGACATTAACCATGAGGCATAAAATGTTTTACCTGTGGGCAGGTAACACCCTGATCTCTGAATATCAACTGCTAACATTTGTACAGTGAGTCTTACAACTTGCAGAGTATTTCCTCATGACAGCATCGTGGCCAGTCTGACCTTCACAGGAAGCTAGGAGACACCAGTTAGGTGGTGGTATTGTTCCTCCCATGGATTTCTTTTTCCCCCCAGAAAAAGAAATTGGAGCTCAGAGAGTTTGTAGGTTTTTCCAAGTCCACAGTGCAGAAGTGGAATGCTAATCCTGGCTTCATTCATCCGTTAGCAAGCAACAGGAATTGAGCAGCTGGCATCGACCTGGCTCATACCGAGTGATCCAAGGATCTGGGGATGCTCAGAGAAGCCAGACACATTCTCTACCCTCAAAAGGTTCTCAGTTCAGCAGTGGAGATAGACATGTAAACTAAAGAGGGTTAGCACAAAGATATGTTGAGTGCTGTGTGAGCCCCCAGGAGGCAGAGCAGGATGCAGGTAGGAGGATTGACTTTGACCCAGAGAGCCTGCCGTCCCATCTCCCACTGAACCACTTCCTACTGTGTGACCTTGAGCAAGTTCCTTGACTTCTCTGTGCTTCAGCTTTCACTTCTGTAACATAGAGCTCATATGATATTATTTGATGGCATCACTGCAAAGTTCCCAGTATCTGGCACACAGCACTCAGCAAACATGAGCTATTATTTTCTCTGGGCAATGGTGCAGAGGATGGCTGGGGAAGGCTGTGAGGCTGCACAACGGGAGGAGTGTTTGGATTAAGCGTTAAGGAATGAGTTTCCCCAGGTGGGAGAGGTCATTCCAAGCAGAGAAAACACTTTATATTCAGACATGAAGGGACAAAGTTGGGTGGAGGTGGGGATGACAGGAAAAGTGGGAGTGGTGGGGGCGGAGTGTGAAGGGCCTTGCATAGTGGGTGCTAAGGGGGCTGTGCATTTGCTCCCGTACATTCTGCTTGTTTCACAGGCTTCGTTTATCTGAGAGACCAGAGGCGTGGTTTGATGGGGAAAATGAGGGAATAGGTGGTTGGGTAGAATAGGTCTAGGGGGAGAGCCCTGGCCCCCAGGGACTGGGTGGACAGAGTCCCCAGCAGGAGGGAGTGCAACTTCCAAAGACAGGTGGACAATGTGACCTGCATCACCTACCTTTCAGCTTTGCTGAAGGTAGTGCCATCCCACCACGGGCAGTGTGTCCAGCTGCAGGCAGAGCATCCAGGGACCCCAGAAGAGAGCAGCCTCTGTCCATTGTGCCGGTTGTGAGGGGGACCTCATGAAGGGGGAACCAGAGAAGAGCCATCTGAATCCCAGGCTGGCTGGAGCAGGATGGCCTTGAGCAGAGGGGGTTATTGAGGAGCCGTGGATCTGGGCAGGAACTAGCTGTTGGACACTACAAGATGGTGATGGAAATGGGCAAACGGAACAGTGTTTGCCTGGAGGACTGAGAAGAAAGGATGGTTCAGGGCAGGAGGGCATCCCCCAAATGATAAGGAGACCTTCATCACTTTTTGCGGGGGGGTAGTTTTATCATGATTACACAGGCATGTAGCTTAAGGAATCAAGTTCTAAAATCTCTAACATGTTTGTAATTTACTCTCTGAATTTTTTTTTCAGTATTTATGCATTATCTAGTGGCATCCCACTAGTGAAAGATTAGAATTTGGCTGTTTTCCATTGAATTTTAAGCAAACACATCCTTCCCATTCTCCTCATCTTCTCAATATACAAACATAGTTCTATTGTAACTTTACTTGGACCAAGTTCAGTGCTTACATCATTGTAATTATGTAAATGTATTCAGTGATGAGTCATATAATAAACTTTGAATCATTTTCATTCATGCAGAACTTTGTTTTACCTAGTTAATAATTATCTCTTTTTTAGTGTATGTATTTATTACTAATTCAATCCCAAACTCATCAACCTTTCCAGTGGTTTTTGTTTTAAGTGCTAGTATTTCTGTTTTTCTGTAATATATTTTCATTGCAATATGTAACATTTCAGATATTTAATGAGTTAAGTAGGTTTTGATCTGCTAGTCTGAGAACAAGGCCATCATTTGTAGTGTTGTTATATAAGGAACTGTATTCTGACTTCCAGGCAATTGGTTTATAAGTGTACCATAGACATTGCCACCTGTATAATGACACTCTCTATGCTCAGGAAGCTTCCAGTGGCATCTGAGATCTAAGACTGAGACAAATGAGGAAATGAAGAAATTACTGTACAAGGCAGAAGTAATCCAGGGCCTACTGAGTGGTACAGACAGATGGCTGGAGACTGGATGGTCATCTTGAAAGAGCTGGGAATTGAGTTTCAAGGCATCGTATAAATTTTTTCTATTGTGATAAAATATGCACAACATAAACGTTACCATTTCAGACATTTTTAAGTGTATAGTTCAGTGGCATTAAACATTCACATTGTGCAATCATCTCCACTATTTATCTCCATACATTTTTTCCCTTTAAGTTGCATTTGCTATTTCTGATTGCAAAAATACATAGAAAAGCACGAAGAAGAAAAGTAAAATATCCATAATTCCACAAATTGTTTAGTGAGCTGATGCTAAGAAAGGGGTGGAAAGTCATCCCAGGTTGAGAGGAGACCCACCCCACCCTCTCTTGGAGGGTTTGAACAGAGGCATAGTGTGGGAGATAGTTTTGAGCATGAAGGGCAAAGATACTGTAAAATCTGTCTTCTGTATGTTCCTTAAACGGGAAGAGGTAGTGAAGTGTTCTAATAGTGAATCAAACCCAGTGAAGACCCCAGTTGTTCTGGTTATCCAGTATATAACAAATCACCCCAAATTTAGTGGTTATGGCATCATTATTATTACAACCATTCGTTATTATTACTATCTTTCGCAGTGCTGGGGTTAGCTGGTCTCAGGGTCTCCTATGTGGCTGCAGCCAGACAGGGGCTGGGGCTGGACACCAGCAAGGCTTCCTCACTTACACATTTGGCTCCCAGGCTGGAACAGCTGGGGCTTATCTCCTTGCATTCTCCCCACATGGCTTCTCCAGCCTGGTGGCTTCAAGATGGCCAGAGTTCTTATATGATGGCTCAGAGGGGTCCCAAGGGTCATGTCCCCCGGAGAAAGCCAGGTGGGAGATGTATCTTCTGTTATGACAAACCTCAGTAGCCATAGAGTATCACCTCCACCACATTCTATTCTTTAGAAATGAATCACTCTCATATTCAAAGGGAGGGGGAGTAGATTTACTTCCTGAAGAGAGGAATGTCAAAAAATTTGTACACATATTTTTAAATCACTACAGTGGTAGATTCTGTTATCGACTGTAGAGTGCTCTGAGCCCCACAGCCCCCTGCTGCTGCTGGTCCTATAAAGCAAGTGGTCCATAAATTCTTGACTTAGAGTTGTAGCACCCACTAAGACCTTAGCTATTACTCCATGAAGTGCTTCCCAACATTTTTTGATGTTCCAATCCCTTTCACAGTAATATGCTATCTTCAGAATATCTACCTTAATGATTTAAAACTTTCATCATTTTTTGCATGGCATATGATAAAGGAATAACTTTTAAAATAAAAAGCATTCATTGGGATCTTACTATATGCTGTGCTAGATGCCAGGAAAACATGAGTGAGCAAGATACACATGGTTCCTGCCACAAAGAGCTTACTCTCTAGCAGTAGAGCCAGACAATTTAATAAAGAATATTATAATAAAGTGTGTGAGACGCTCGGATAGGGGAAGTGCCAGCTCGCAAATAATTTCTCCCATTCTGATCTCTACACACTGAGATACCGTACAGGCACCTCACACTCAGCATGTCAAAAAAGTGAATTATCTTCGCTCTCCTCTGTTCTCTTCAACAGCATCCCATACACCTGGTCAAACCAACAGGTGCTGTAGTCCTCTAGCCTTTTCCTGGTCTCTCGACCCTGTCCCTGACCTGTCCTCCAAATGTTACTTCTGTCTTAGAACTGTCTCAACTTATTTAAAGAAAAAACATTAAAACAGTATATTGTTAATTGAAGGCAATTTTAACATTTTAATTAAATTGGTGATTTTAAAAACCCTCTTTCCCATTTAAGAAGTGACATGCTGATTTTAAAATCACAGAAAAACTCATAATTTGTTAACAGGACTGTCCTGCCAATGGGTCTCAGCCCTGGGCAAGTTCGCTATGGATTCAGTGTGACCAAAAAAATGACAGTAGA